CTTCTTCTTAATTAACGTTTTCCTTGGAAAAAGGTCGCCACTATCCCCTAAGCTGGTTATTTTAAAAGTATTAACTTTGGTAATAACTTAATCATTGACTCTACACATTTGAGTAAAAGTTACATGATTCGCATAAGTTTCTCTCATTCGCTCTTGAAGAACCGCATGTAAATTTTCCTTTATTCAAATAGAAGTTAATCTCAATTCTTTCCTTCTAATAATCAGAATGTAATATGATAAAGGGCCCGTCGATTTAGCCTCATTTGATTCTTTGTAGATTCTCTGTTGCTTTTATATCAATCGATCTTTCAGAAATCAATTTCACGTTATATTTACCTATATTTCTATATCTAATGCCCTGAGAGCCTTAAGTTCCGAGCCAACAGCTAAATTATTTGAATCGAGTATTAACAATAAAATAATGTTTTTGCCTGAATTCTATCTAAAGCCGCAGAGAGTTAGGCAGAGCGTATAAGCAACAAACTTAAATGATCTTGATTTTATTTTAAAATACATTAATTCTTCTGTGTAAATTTATTTGGTCATCAATAAATCTCTATTTAAAGATTTTAAAAAATTTAGGGAAATACAACAGAACTACCGCACTTACTTTGGCTTTATATATTTTTTAAATTTATATATATGGAATACTTGTTGCATGCAAGATTAATGTAAGCAACACAATGAGCATATATTTTGTGAAAGACACAAGGAATGGAAAATATATATTGAATAAATGAATATCATTGATATAAGGTAATGTTTTTAAATGTTATGAATGAAAGCTTAAAATTATCTTTATTTAAAGTCCAACCAATAGGCCAAATACTATTGTGCATAATGAGTCTTACTTTTTAAACTCAAGGAATCAAAATGAAATCTTTTGTAATTTGCAAACAGTGAAAAGAAATGAATATCTTTATTGCTTAGCTCAATGATGTATTTAACAATAAACTGACATCTAATGGAAACTAGGTACTTTAATTAAACATGGCATCCACATCAGAAAAAATTCTAGCTAAACAATTATTTACACTCCTATTTTGTATTTACGGAATAAATTAAATTAGATAAACGGGATCAATATAAATTTTCTACCTATTTTTTGTTTAAAATATGGCCATTTAGCTAAATTGAGCATCTTTGAGCTTAAATATTTACATAAGTCTCATTTTATAGGGTAAAATGGAAGGAAACTCGAACATCCTGATTCTTCACCTAACCTGTGACAAGCATGCCAGACCCAATTTTCTCGTGGCTCATGAGGCCGGAAGGGTGCGGTTCCTCTATTGTGTATAATCGAAGTAAAACGTAGTAGACGCCGATAACTGGCATAGGCTTGCTGAGGCTGGCGGCTTATCAGACTATATACACTGGGTGGAAAGCAGTTCTCCTCAAGCGCACAGGCCATCTGTCGCAACGGTACAAATGTGGCATATGCTGAGGACTCAAGATGTTTGACATCAGGCTCCAAGTCTGGCAGATGTGGAGATGATAACAAAGGAGGGTTTGGTTGTGACGATTGTACGGATGCAAATCTAATGTCAACAGATCGGCTACCGTTAAAATCTGCTTGAATGTGAGAAAGAGGGCACCATAAATCCAAGCTTAATAATATAGATCCTTAATTTGACAAAATAAATTATTTTTCATACTTTAAGCAGATTCCTGTATTTTTTCGGTATGGTATTCGCTTTCGATTTTCATTTAAGCCCAGAAATATCATAATTTTTTACATGTAAAACAATGAAAGCTATGCATATAACCCTTAAGAACTCGAAGACAAACCTTTTTAGATTTTAACTCCCGCTAAATATCAAATAACACAAAAATAGTAAAGGATTCTTTTTAACTTCTTTTTAAGCATATTTAGAGAATACTTATTACAGCTTGGCCTAGAGCCGAGTCCAGAAGATATTCTATATCGAACTTAGTAAATTATGATAGTTGCCTAAAATGTTTTTAAAAGCAAGATTCTTCTATTTTTTAACTTGAGACAAAATGAGTTTCAGTTTTCCCGCTTTGTAAAATTGTTGGCCTACACAGGGAGTTAATAGATCTCAGAACTATAAGAAGATCTGCCCCTAGAGTTCTAGAAACCGAAAATCTTTTCAGGTGACGTAATGTATTCTTTCACGCTCTTACATAACTTGTCTTCATATCTATTGTATTTACAAAACAACTAAGTTCAGTACACAAATCTCATATCACATTACAGTTTCTCAGGTTGGGAGATGAAGAGTAGTTAAAAAAT